AATAAACATTTATCATTAGTGCACGAAATTGATTTTTTGATTTCTAAATTTAATTTAAAGATAAATTTATTTTATGATATAAAAAGAGCCCCCATTTATATTTCTACATGTAGGGCCTAGAAAGCTCAATACACGGTCCTGATAATATTTTATAAAATTCTTGCACTCCTTATCTTTTGCAATTTTAACATTAACATTAATATACTTTGTTTTGGAAAAAAGAAAAAGTGATAAACTTATGTTAGAAGTTACAATCGAACACAGTAGAATTCTGTGGAGAAATTGTAAACGTTCGTGTCAGTGTAAAATTGTCAGTTTAAGACAAGAGCAAGTAGTTCTGAAAGTTCGACCACGAAGTATTGCACGGATGCGAACTTAAGCAATGCGTCTTATTGCTTAAGTTAGTTCGTGATGTTAGGGTCTTAAGTACCTTCGTGTTTCTCGGTTATACCGGAGCAACGATGAATCACAGGTAGCATCGTAGCGCAGATACACCGTCTCTTAAGGGGAGTCGGACATTTCTCAGCCACCCTTTGCAATTTGACCTATCTCTGCGAAACACGTTTCCTACGAATACAGTAGCCAAGCCAACAGAAACGGTGTACCTCTATTTCCAACTAACTTATACAATCGTACAGGTAATTCGTATCGTAACACGTTCGTGGAATGAAGGTGGAACGAGTCTTATCTTCCTATCGCATTTCCACCAGTTTCTACTCAGAATTTATTAATCTCTCAGAATTGTACATATTAAATATTTAGAAAAAATTAAATAAAAGCAAAGCCAAATTTAATGCGATTAAAAGATATTATTTAACGCTTTGATGCATTGCGTTGCAAATATGTTATGTAAAACAATAAATAAATTGTACATTTCATTATTGATAAAATTATTTAAAACATTTACAGCTGTAAATTTACTTAGTATTAAAATTTTTTTAATTAAACATTGTTTAAAAAATAAAAGATACGTCCTTATTTCCAAAATTGATTATATTACTCCCTTAGACTTCCATCTAATCCGGCACTGACACCAAATATATTTTATTATTAAACTGAAATTAACAAAATTATGCAACAATAGATTAATACTTTTTTTTTTTTAATTTATGATACTTTGAGCGACGTTGACTAGGATTATAATTTTAGTGCATAAATATTAGACATTCCTGATAATGTCAGCGTAGAAATAAATCTGTTATTTATACAATCATGAATGACTTCGGTAAACAATGTAAGGTTCTCTTTGAAAGATGCAAAGTGTATTTTCGTGCGAAGCAAATAAAAATAAATTCCATCATTCGCACACGCTTGTTAAAACATCTCACCTTGAGTTTGCAGATGAAATCTTAGCATGTTCGCGTTAAGTTCTTAACACGTGTCATTTTAAGACGATCCGCACGAGATGCGCGCATTTTGCTCGTAAACTTTCTCCAATTCGTTTGTGTTAGTGATTTATAAACGTTACTCTTCTTCCTTTCGCCGATATTAACTACTCAGAGCAAAAAGATGATTTTCGAAAAACTGAAACGATGCTAGGAATTACTAATGTCAATTGCACTGTGTTTCATAAATAATTCTTTCAGAATTTCTGAACCGTGTCATCGAAAGGAAAACGAAGCTTAACGATCATTTCTTCTAACCGTAATTTCATTCAACAGCTAAATAATAAGAAAGACTGAAAATGTCAGCGTAAACGGGGACAAACGAGCCGCGTTTAATAATGAATTAAGGACAGCCACTTTCACTTATTCAAATTAAAGGGAACGCAATTGAAGCTCATGAACAGTGATCAAATTGAAGTGGAATTGGAACGACACGCAAACATTAGTTTGCAAGTGCAATCAGCCACGATGTAAATTTGTTTTAGCTGTTCGCATAAACGTGATCCATTTTCTATGAGATTTCTTAACCCTTTCGATGCTCCGGATCCCCCCACTACCCGTGTATAAACATTTACACGGGAAACTTGGAATTAAGTTGTATACTGAATTTTATAATTTTCAATAATTAAAAATTATATTATTTTGTTTCTAAATCATTTTTAATATTAATATCATATATCGCCATTTTCCCTAGGAAAGCCTTCTTTGATCGCGAGTGTACATAATAATTTAAGAGAGACTGTACATTTAATTACATTGCTGTCATACATATTTTTTGTTGTTTTTTGATTACCTAATAGTAATTATTAGTGTTTGTTAATAATTATAGGCCAATGTTATCAGATCCCAATGAAATGATAAAAAAAATAAATATTACCGATTTCATTTTTGTTTCATACACATACGGAATATTCAGTAATCAAAAGGTTAATGAGTAATTTAGATTCTTCGATTCGTTAGACATTTTATCAGAATTTCTAGCATACATATAGAAGATTGAATAGGCAAATATTAGCAGGGAAGGAAAATTTTGAAATTGTCTGAAAGCCGTGTTTAGGTTAACGTAATTTGCCTTCGAGCAGTCATTGCTAAATTTAATGAAGCATAAGCAAGCCTAATCAGACCGAGTCACGAGGAAGCCGTCTCGTCGCCTGCAGCGTTAACTCGTTGAAACGCGACCAAACGACTCCGTAAATTGCAATTCGACGCAGCCCAGAGACGATCTTGATGTACCATGAAATCATGGTTTATACTACTGAAAATTAGGTGAACATGATTTTTTTTGTAATTGACAAACATTCTTATAAATTGGCCCATATGTTATAAAATATACCACGAAAATGATGCTTCATTATTATAAAAAATTCTAATTAGTAATATCAAACACCTAAAATATAAAATAAAATTTGTATACTTATTATGCCAATAGAATTGATTGACCAATGTTCCAATACTCTAAAATAAAAAAGACTAGAGACTAAACTATGCTTCAACAATAAATTAAGATTTATGCTTCTCGCCAACGTGCATAATTTAGATGCTGCGCGTCCAATTTATCACGAACAAGCCTCGTAGGCAGGGCGAAATACAAGCAAGTTTAATCAAGCTTGATCAGATGAAATCACGATTAACTCACATCGTTGCCTGAAGCGTCAATTCGGTTTGGATCGCGTCAGATGAGTCTGTAAATTCATCCAATTTGATGTGATACGCGATTACTCAAAATGTTTCATAGAACAGCCAAATTCAGGTAGAAACTTCATTTATATAGAATGTAATAGAATTTCGTAATAATTGCATAAATAAACGTCTAATGATAAGAGGTATAAAAAAAGAAAGTAGTCATGGTGAAGATAGGACCGGATTAAAATTCCTGGGGCTGGGGTTATGAAATCACTCGGAATCTATTTGATTGATAAACATGGTTTCACAATAGCCACTGAATTCAAAATTTATAAAAGTGTATTGATTTCTAATGTTCGGAATTTTTTAAATCGTCTTCATAGAATGATGGAGAATCATTAAATCATCAAATCACTATAATGAAAAATCATTAAATTATGAAATCATTATAAAAAATCACTCTATAATTAAATCACCATTATGAAAAATCATCATCGTACGCTAATGATATATAAAAATTAAAGGGAGAGGATTTATTTTTACAATAGCAATTAAAAATCTAAAATTTGCAAAATTATAACAAATTCCAATGTTTAGAACTTGTTGACATAGGAATTGGGATGTTAGAATGGGGCACCTCGTAGTCAGATCCACTTGATCCGCTGTTAGGTGAAGAGAGCATTCTTTGATGCATCAAAAAACACACTTTTATGCAACAACTTTCATTTTTTCAGACTCACTTTCCTTCGTCTAACGAGCTAAAAAATAATTCATTTGAAGTAAATCTAATTAACTTAGAAGAAACTGTGTATCCTGTTTCCGTATACCATTTTAAAATGCGAAATGAATGTTCGATGCACGATTAATAAAACCTATTTAAATTTCGATAAAATTCACGGGATTGAAGGAGCGTTAAAAAAAAAATTTACACCAATTGTTCCTGTTTCAATTAGTTCCCCGGATTCCAGTGATTTCGAGCGATTCGGGATAAAATGGTCCGAAAGAACAGAAGAGAATTAAACGGATTTGCAAGCGTTGACGCGAGGACAATCGAAGAATCGGAATAAGTCGCGATTAACGCTTGCGAGCGTGTTGGTACACGCTAAACGACTACGTAAATTGTAGCTCGATCCGATGCGTAACGAACCGATGTACCAAACCCTCGGACCTGTTCGAAACGGTATACGCACACGTCCCGCGCGTGTAATTAGGGAACATACGTGCCTCGCTTGACAGTTCGTTCTATTCGACCAAGTGTTTTCAGACCGATTCGCAAGGGAGATTCCAATTCAACCCGTTCCTCTACGCTCGTCCACTCGTTTGCATGACAAACTCAACGAAATATAAATTTTTTAAGGAACGACCTACGAAGAGGAAACGCGACATTGATTTTTCCTCTTTTTATTGTTACAAAGATGGGATCAGGTATTGGTTTGAATGTTGACTAAAAAGATTTAGAATATAGAGTATGATTTATAAAATATTTCGAAGGTAAATTTTCTTCTAAAATTTAAAAGTTTACGATCCTGTCATCTCGAAGATATAACAAGGCTGAAAGGTAAAGAAGTTGACAAGCTTTGACGGGAGGTCGATATTTCTTTAAAAGAATCCCATTTGAGAAGTTTCAAAAAAGTCAGCGTAGAATAACCAATTAGTAATTTCTTAATAAGGAAGATACCAAGAAAAAGTAGAAGAGTCTTATGAGTTTCATCATTAAAGTTTCGCCAACACTAAGTGAAAGCTTGTCGGAGTATTTCAATTAAAAAATTCAATTCCTGTCAATTTATGACAGATAATTCTCGGAATAATTTTTCAAGAAACATTGCAAAATTTAGGAAATGACAATAATACGAAATACAAAATTACAGTTAAATTGAGACTCTCTTTATGGTCCGCCGTCTGGGGGCTAATTATCAAGTACAAGAATAGGAAATTTTGAAATTTAAAATTTTCATTTGCTATCTAATATTATTTAAAAAATAAAACACTCACATTAAAACTGAGGCTCTCTTCATGGTCCGCCGGCCGGCGGCTAAATATATTCTAAACACGATTTTATTCAAATTTGTTATCACTTTAATACGAGATAAATTCCATAATATGGATACTCACCGTCTCCATTGGTCTGGAAACACGACCAGCTGGAGGTAGTGATAACCGGTTGAAAGACTTTATCCGACCTTCATTCCGGCCTTTACCACATTCCAATGAGAGCCGATGAATTCAATCGAGTCCTCGTTTCGGTATGACCCCATAAACACCTCAGCATCTGCCGTCAAATGAGGGCAGATAAATAACCGAGGAAGATACGGTACCCACTCGAGTGAAGATAACGAAACTGTTTTTCAATAAATTGGTGCATTCTTCATCGGAGAATTTACACGAATAAAAATATGTTTGACCGGTAACATCAGTCGGAACAACTGTCGCGCAAATAACTGTTGTTTAAACGAACGCGTTCACGAATACGGTGGAAAATACGATTATTGAAAAATAAATTCCAGAGGCATGTTGAAAAACGATTGTTAGTCGGTTTGTTATCGCTATGGTATCCGTATTGAAACTAATATTTTATTTCTTTTATTTTTGAAACACCGAAATATGCTTGTTTATTTCATTGATTTTCATCAATATCCTATCGAATATTAACGACTGGAAAACCTTTTGTACGGCGTTTGAAAATTAATGTACAGCAGAATGAAACGAAATTTCGTATTCATATTTTAATTAAAGATGACAGAATGGGGATTATTTTCAAAATGAGATAAATATGATTGACAAGAATTGGTCCATAGAATTTTTGAAAACTCAATTTAAAAATTCAAGAAAATTAAAATTTTCAAGAATAAAGACAATATTTTTCCAAAATTTCAATTAAATTGGGATAAGGGAGATAAAATTGAAAATTTTTAGCATGCTTGAAAATTCAATTGAAGATCAAATCGCTCATATGGCAATATAACGAGAGTCTTCTATATTAAAAAATAGCTATCAATAATGATTATCGATCGTATTGGAAATAATACTATAGACATATTTAAGGCATCACACGATGTTCAAATTAATGCACGCTTCTCGCTAATACTCACCGTTAAGTAACTCCAGGATGGAGTAGCATCAGCGACAGACGGATAACCATGTTGACTACTCAACGTCGTTGGCACGATTATTTCGCGGGCCCGTAAAGTAGCGTGGTTTTGCAACGTGGTCAGACTGAATCCTTACGATGTTGCACGAACGGCAGCCTAGATCCGACTCGGTCGAACTCGGCTGGCCTGCAGCGACTCCACCGTTCGGAAGAGGTTCAGTCGCTTCGCGCGCCTCGTGTCGTACGTGTTGATTTTCGTTCGCTCTTCGTGGAAATCACCGTTTATCACGATCTATTCGTGTCTCGATTTTCGTTTGCGCGTGTATTACGTGAAATTTTACAAACATTTGTGACATTCTTCTTGGTGATCGTTGTTTCATCGAGTTATTTTTCGTACCATTCGAAAGTCCCGGCTCGATCCGGTGGCTGAGGTGAGTAGCGCGCAATAATCCTTTTTCTAAATTTTTATGCTCGTAGAGTGTGAATCGCAATGCTTTTCAGAGTGTTTCCAGGTGATTTTGAAGAACCAGGTAGTTCCATAAAATTAATTTATAAAACACTTTTTTTAAATTTAATTAGCTATTGTAAATGTGGAAAAACAAAAATTATCATTGTAAAGTGTGTTTCATTTAATTCAAATAATTTTTATTTCCATTTCTACAAACAAAAAAATATTTTTTTTATATTGAAACCAATAGTGAACTTCAACAGAAAAATCTTAATTAATTATAAAATTTGTTAATACCAGTGCTAAGTTTCCTACTTTAAAAAAATTCTTTTTTAATAAAATGAAAAATGTTGCACAAAATATAAATTATGCGTACGTTGAATATCACATAATTTCATGTCTGAGACTATGCAGATTCTACAGTGTCAAGTGATAAATGTGCACATGATATTTTTCTTCAACACCTATTTCATTTCTTTAAATTATATTTCTACAGTATTAAAAATCACAAGATTATCTTTCATAGTGCTTCAAGGAAATACCGTTTTTAGTATCACTATACTTCACCTCTTCCATTTAAAAACGTATCATGGTCTATACTATACTTTCGATGGTGACACCGGAAGTATCGTGAATTATCTGATATTTTTGCAGGTACATAAATTCTGTTTTAAACTTGACGTTTACTAGCGTTCGATATGCGTTCGGTCAGTTGGTGTTCTCCTCGCCCCAATAATTTGGAGTTATAGTAGACACTCGTTATATTGCCACGTGAGCAGTTTGACATTCGCATGGATTTTAAAGCGCACTAGTGCCACCCATCCACCATCATAATCTATGAAAATGATATATTTCTATGACCCTCCACCTTTCAAATGAGAGTTTGGAAGCTTGACAAATTTTACGCTTCTACAATCATATCGGCGGCAATATAAAAAAATTAAAAAACAGATATTTCTTCCAGAAATATCAATACGTATAATTATATAATAAGATAAGAAATATTAATTACACTTAAAAAATTATTATCTGCGTCTAAAATCTCAAGAAGAAAAGAGTGACTTGGTAAATCTCGCTTTAAGAGTTCGAAAAGTCGGATTCATCTCTCGTTTTGAAAATAAATGTTTAATTTTCATCTTTCTTCGTATCCGGAGAGAAAATACACGACACGTATAGGTTGGCCGGAATGATTGATAGCCGGGGATAAGACGAAACAACCGAGCGGGATTTCTTCGCGAACTTTTCGTGTTTCACGTTAATCGAAAAGAGCTTCTTATCAGGGAAGGAAGAACGCACAAGTTGAAACTCAATTTCTGTTGAATCAGAATGCGACCTCAAAGCACCAACAATCAACTGTATATGGAAAACATTGGCTACTGGAACAGGAAGAAACTTCAAGAGAAATTGAGGTAGAAAATAAATGAGTCACGCCGTTAATTAGTTGCTTCATATACTTAAACGAAAATAAAAAAAGAGTTCATAAATCACCTTACATATAAAAGAATGCGGAAGTTGATTAATGATAAGCATTAAATAAATGAAAAAAAAAAATTTTGTAACTGTTAAGAAAGTTGTATTATGTATAGTTACACCGTTATGCAATATAATTAATACGGATGTGCGGATAAACGGGTCGGATCTCGAAATTTCGGGTACTCGAATAAATTTATGTTGAGCGATTTTTTGGGGTCCCATCTGACCCGACTCGAGGTTGGGGTATCCGAATTTTCGGTAAACGATGAAAATTAAAATTTCCCCGAGCGATCATGAATTGCAATTGGAAAGTCGCAGTCTAGTTAAAAAGAATCGTTTTTCAAATCTAAAGAAGGTGGTGTGGTTGGCGGTAAGATGGCACGTTAATAACGTAGCATTCGAGGGAACCCACGGGAGATTGCTTTTTCCTATTTAGAAGCGCCTTTTGAAGGCTTTCCACCTCGCGTTCCTTTTTGATTATGCAAATAAACCGGTTGCAGGAATATTACATTTCACCGAAAGCACCGGCGTTTTAACTGATGACGTCTTAACTGGAAAATTATCGCATAGACGATGGAGTTTCTTTCGAAGCGATTGCTATTCGCGGCTAAAAAACTCACCTGTGGCTCGTATCTACCGTATTCGCATCCTTTGAGGGTTTTATGAAACCACCGTTTTTTTTGCGGGGAAAATATTTACTGCTATTTAAGTGTCTCGAATGAGAATTTCGCCTTGCATGATTGCGTTTATGATTTTTACACGGTTTAAACGATGCGGATTTCCTCTCTAACTAATTGGAACACGTAAAAATTAAGTGATAAAATGCCAGTGTTACTCGATCTTTACATAAATGCGAATCACCGAAACAGAAATACAAGAATTTTCGAAAGAAAAATTCACTGGAGCAAATTCATTGGAGGCTGGGAAACGTTGAAAACAAACTTAAAGGAGATCAGGGGGACAAGAATGATACCTCTGTAGAGTCTCCGAGAGCAATTAGGAGGCTTCAATTAGCCGAAGGAAGGAAGAAAGAGAGCCGAGAACGATAATACGGCAGGCAACGAGCCGCTTTTGTTTAAAAGTACTCCGCTTTTGTCGCTAAAACGAACGTTTGCTTCTCGAATGACCGATCAAGAAGCGATAATCAAGATCGTTCTATTCTTTGCTTCGTAATTAGGTATTGTTACTTAACAGTCCGCTCAGTCGGTACGTTTGAAAAAAAAAAAGAAAAAAAAAATACACAGGAACGTACGCTCATTCAGAGTTTTCCATGGAGAAAAGAAGCAAGTAATTTGCGTGCTTAACTCTGGCTACGCTTGGAAAATTTATGTAGATCCCTGACAAGATTATTCCGGAGCAAAAGTTGCTGAATGCAAACGAGAAAACTGTGTACACAGAAACAACAAATATTACTTTATTCCGACGCGTTCATCAACCGATCGTACTCCTTTTTTTTTTTCTTCTTTTCATTCGAACAAATTATTCGATGAAATATGAAAGATTCGCGTAGTTTGCGTTAACACGATCGATAGGCACTGGAGAGAGGCAAACAACTGGACGTAAATTCAGCGGGATGAACGAGCTGTCAGAGCTCTTCATATTGTAGGAAAGCAGACGTTATATTTCAAGCAGCTAAAGAACAATTTCCTTCGAAGTCGCATTTGTTTTCATCTCGTTCTATTTTATCCTCTCGCGATCGTAATTTTCTTCCTTAATCAAAATGAATATTCCTTCTCGGTGCGACTCTGTTTTATTCTACCGGAGTAGCAATTTTCTTTCTAGTGTTATTGCTTTGTTTTTAATTGACGCAGTCTCTTGTTTTTTCTTTTTAATTTTCCAATAATTTAGTTTATTGCAAGAACTTCAATTTTTCAATTAAGGATACGTTTCTTTCATTTTATTGGCTCGTTTTAATGAATCATTCGCGGGTAGAAGAGATCCAAGGAAACATCAATCGAAAAATATTTTTCACTTTTGAACCGATATCGTTTGCAGGTATCGCACTCGAGCACGGATCAGTTGCGAATTTATTTCACGCGTGTACGGGCATAAATCAAACAGCGTTTGCTGTTATGCTCACGCTGGAATAATCGTTTTTACCTAGATATATCGTAGTATTCTACATAGGAAGATCTACAGCTACGTGAAAAAAGGAAAAAGATTCTATATCGGCCTGTCGATATAATCTAATTAATGATTCTTTTCTGTCGTGCGAGAAAACGGATTAAAAATCTTAAAATTGATATCTATTATTTGCTTCGAGATGATTCATTAGGTTTTATATACCATGACGACAATAAATTTCTATATTTATTTTGTTATTGAATTAAAAAGAATATTTAATTAAATTCTTCAAATTATATTTATATATTTAAAATAAATTATTATTATTTCGAAATTGATAACGACTGAAATACAAACAAAATAAGCTTAAAAATTACTCTGAATTCGATCAAGATGACCGATTAAATTAATACAATTTTATGATAGCAATAAATTAGCACATCTGATTATTCATTTAATTCCCTAATTGTATCCAGATAAAAGGAAACCTTTGTTCGCCCGAAAAATGATGTTATATAATATTGAAATGAATTTAAACAGTAGCTCAGGATCGCAAATTGCATTTCGCATCTGAAATTCACCCGAAACAGTTTAATTTCCGTCGACTCGTTCGGCAGTGATAATTGAAACAGATGCTTACACCGCACACAACGCTACTCTGAGATAATGTGTAATCCTAATTAAAAGCTTTCGCTGAACTTTACAATGCACACCACCTACTGTTTGTTTCTTCGTTTCATTACGGCATAATACCGAGGAAATGTATATAGAGTTCGCGAGCGGCGTAAAGTATGCAGAATTTGTTAGAAAAGCACGAAAAACCGCTATCCAAGGAAATTGCTGCTGGTTTTTCGCGAAAACAGTGCGATGCTCCGAGCAACGTTAAATAGATAGCTCTACCGAGAATTTTAATAAAATTTTATATAAAAGAAAGCACTGACAATTTTTTATATCTACAGATATGTGACATTTTTTCAAATTATTATTAGTTGGCCAATAATTTGAAATGTCAAGTCGACTCAAAATTAACGAAAAACTCCAACATTATTTTTTTTTTTTTTTGAAGTAGAAGCAGATTTGGAATAATGAATGATTAATTCTAAAAGTCCGAAGTCGACGTTAAATTTCAATTTTACACGATTTTCTCTCGGCTCCGGCAGGAAATTAATACTCGAACATGAATTATCCAACGAAAAATCTATCAGCGTAAAATCACTCGTCCCGATCGAAAATTTTCAAAAGCAATCCGATCTGATTTCGTTTCTGTTTCGACGATAATTTGCGTTCGAACATAATTGTCCCGTTTATTTTCCAGGATCGTGAACACGCATCCGAGAATGCAATCGCATGCATTTTCTCCGACAATATCGCGAGGACGGTCCCGTCTGTTCTCATTTGCCTTTTTTCTCTCTCTCTCCGTTCTACATGAAATTGAAATAAACACGA